AAAGCTGAAATGAGCAGAAGCTAAAAGGAGCTGAAGGAAGCAGAAAAAAGCTGAAATGAGCAGAAGCTAAAAGGAGCTTAAGGAAGCTGAAAAAGCTGAAATGAGCAGAAGCTAAAAGGAGCTGAAGGAAGCTGATTAAAGCTGAAATGAGCAGATAGAAGCTAAAAGGAACTGAAAGAAGCTGAAAAAGCTGAAATGAGCAGAAGCTAAAAGGAGCTGAAGGAAGCTGAAAAAAGCTGAAATGAGGAGTAAAACAACACAAATGTTTGATGGATGTGAACAGAGCTCCACTCATTTTCAATGAGAAAAACATGGCCGACAAGGATAAATATTTGTGAAAGTTAAAAGTGCACAAATATTAAAAGTGACAGCAGAAACATCGTGAACGAGCCGAATGTTTTGATTCATGATTTGTTGAAATAGAACAAATAATGAGGGCGAGTTAGCTGCTGAAACACACTCAGAAGAAAACTAATTTCAATAAAACAATTTAAAAACACATTTACACACAGAGAGGGGGAGTGGTGGCGCAGAGGTTATAGAAGATGGGCCTGTGATCGGAAAGTCGCAGGTTCAACTCCCGGTCAACATCAAAATGTGGGTGGAAAAGGTGAACCACACCTGCCTCCACCCTCATTCGCCCACTCTGGGCCCCTGAGCAAGGCACTTAACCCCCACCATCTGCTCCTGAACAGGTCTCTCTAGAAAATGAGTCCTCGTGACTCAACGAGACTACCTGGATAAATAAAGAGTAAATAAAAAGATTAAAATCAAGAGACGTTCAGGTGTCTGGTCATATTTTCAGCTCAGCCACAAGATGGCAGCAAAATCTTTACAACAAAACGAAAAACTTTTTTTTTTTTTTTTCCTTTTTTGTTATTTAACAAGTTTACATTTTTCATTTTGCAGAAATTATCATCACATGTTATAACATGTGTTATATGCATGTTATAACATGTGTTATATGCATGTTATAACATGTTTGACAAATCAATTTAAATAAAACAACAAGGCAGTCACACATTTACTATTCACAGGCAGACCATTTCCTGTTTGGTCAACATTGATGTTTTTAAATGTGCTCCATAAATAAATGTGCAAAAAATACTTTAAAAAACCCTTTTAGAAATACTTGATGAAGTTAACACGTATTGTCTGACAGAATGGGCCTTGGATCCTCACTGGTCAGGCTTCGTGTTAATGGATACCTTGGCAAAGTGTTCTTGTGGATGTTTGCTGTCCAGCTCCAAGATGTTCCCCACGAAGGGCAGCGCCCTCGGCCCTGGAGGGAAGTTTGGTGGTTTCCTGTTTTTCAAGAAGTCTGCGATGAGAAGGAACAGAAACAAGAACAAGAAGAGACTCTTCAGGTCGAAGCTCAGTAAAAAGTTATAAAGCCACATGTTGATGGGAACGTGCTTCAGATGAGGTCAGGTCTGCTTGGTGCCGTGCACGCTCGATTCAAGCCTTTGGTGTTTACGCTCCACTGCGCATGAAGGAAAAGCAGCTGACCAGAGAGGTTACATAACATGGTGCAAACTGCACCTTCTCTCCTTTGGACAGGCAGAGCCGTGTTACAGTGCACGCATGACGAAACCAGCTGTAACCTGACACTGGTGGGACTGTCAGGTTTCCACATTAGCTGTTAGTTTGTGGAGAGTCCGGGCCTTCGGCTCGTTCTGCTCCTCAGTCTGTTCGGTTAGTGCAGCTACGACCTCACTCCTCCTGTTTTGCATTTTCACAGGCTGTTCTTCACGGGTCGGTGGTTGTTTGTTCCTCTTTGCCAATTGAGGATTCTGGTTTCGGTCACTCTCGCTCAAATCCGGAAGCGCCCACAACCTTTACGGCTGGGCTGTGTTTGCACGTGCGCTGTTGGTTTATGCACAGCAGTTTAAGGGCAAACTAAATAGTAAAAAGCAGCATTTCATCTAATCTTCTTTCTTTGGTTCCACACAGGGCAGCACGGTGGCGCAACTGGTAGAGCTGCTGCCTCTCAGCGAGCAGGTCCCCGGTTCAAATCCCAGTCCAGGGACCTTTCCGGGTGGAGTTTGCAAGTTCTCTCGCGGTTCACCTTTCACGGTCTCTCTGCTTCACGATCGTGCATTGTGTTCTGCATTCTGATTGGCTGAACAGTCTGTCCGCTTCCAATTTGAAGCCTTCAGTTCGTGTTGATGATTAAAATGGTTATTTTACAGTACAGTAGTTATTTGTAAAAAATGTTTATACAGTACTTTAATTTGTTAAACAAATGCTTGGGCCTGTAAAAAGGTTTTGTTCTTTGGTTTGAATGTATTGTGGAGTATTTCATTGTATAATAACTGTAAAAAAAATAAAGGTTACTACTTCACGGGTTCTTTTTGGAACGTAACCCCCGCGAAAAACGAGGGTTCACTGTATCCAGTTTCCTCCCACAGACCAAAAACATGCATGTTAGGCTGACTGGTAACTCTATTGTCCCTAGGTGAGAGAGAGAATGGTTGTTTGTCTCGTGTGTCTCTATGTGTCCCTGTGATGGACTGGAGACCTGTCCAGGGTGCACCCCGCCCCTCCCACAGCTGGACATGGGCGTCGGCGACCCCAGTGACCCAAAATGGAAGAAGAGGGTAAGAGATAATGGGTGGATGATTCCACACACTTTAAGGATGTTTCTCTCCAAGTTTGATGAAACTCATCTGCAGGTTTTGAAGAAATGACGTGATGCACCTTGAGACACAGCATCAGGTCTGGGCGTCGCTCTCAGCTACGTCACACCAAATCCAACATTTCTGCACAACATGGCAACAAATCAAAGAATCAGTTTTTTCTTTTGAGCTATGGTGGCCATCTTGGATGAGGATGTGATGGGGAACGTTCTCAGCTATCACCACACCAAGTTTCACCTCTTTATGTGTAAAAATGACTTTAAATGTAGCTTTGTCAGCCATCTTGAATAATTTTAATTCAGTATGTATTGAGCATTGCTCTCAGCTACCACCACACCAAATTTCAGCTTTATATAAATAAATATATATATATATTTTTTTTTTATTTTATTTTGCTCAGGTGGCCATCTTGGATATTTGATTTACAATCAGAGTCTATAAGGATCGCTCTCATCTACCAATACACCAAAATTCAGTTGAATAGTTTTAAAAACGGTTGAGTTGTGGCTGTTTGAAATTAGTTTTGTCTTGAATTTTTAGATTTGAATTCAGACTGTGTTGTGCATCGCTCCAAATTACAGCTCAATATCTTTCAAAGTAGCAGAGTTATCATGTTTTTTCACTTTTAGCTAAGGCGGCCATCTTGGATGTTTCATTTGCATCAGGAATGTAAAAAACTCACTCTCAGTTACAACCGTAATACATTTCAGCTCAATATCTCAAAGAATGACTGAATTATAGTCAGTTCTGTGTTTGCTGAGGTAGCTGGGGCAGCCATCTTGAATCAAAATGGCTCCTGGATTATGCTGGTGTTGCACCCTTAAAAAGAACTTAAAAACTCATATTTGAGCTTTTG